TAGATGTGTCCGTGGTCGATGGCCAACCAACCGCCCGCAGCCAGAGTCTAGCCCTGGCACTTAAACTTAATTTGCTCAGCTACTGCGCAATATCACAGTTTGATATGTCTGTCATTGGAAAGATCCACATGGTGTCTTCTCATAGGTGTCCAGTGTCTTCTCATAGGATAAGAAAACTCAGTCTCATGAATAATTAAGAGACACCGATGAGTCATCAAAGGACTCACAGTGCACTGCCACGTCACAGCCTGTGAAGTGGACATGATGAAGATTTTAAACCCGGAAGACCAAAATAGCGGAAAAAAACTCAAATTTAACCATTTTCCCCCTACTATTAAATCTAACAGATGCTAACATTGTCTTCAATGGTGTTCAACACACATACCTCTGTTAAAATCTCAGAAAATTGGGTTTGGGGTTTCATGACCCTTTAAAAGTAGACACTTTCTATAGACATATTTCATGTCTGTGTGACAATTTCGCTGAGTTTCGGTTTTATTATTGTGACGCCCTATGAAAGAACATTTTGTTCTCTTTCATCATCTCGTGTTCGAGATCCACCTATGGAAAGGGCATCCGTACCTGACCTCTGCAGAAGCATCCAATTGCACCAAGTCTGGCTAGACAGAAAGAAGCGTGCAGGCAATGCCAGGTAAGGCCCCACCCCCTTACCTGAGGGTGAGGCCTCCTGTGACGCCACCTTAAAGTTGCCGCAACCCAGTGTGTCGAACTCGGGCTTTCGGACTCAGATGGGGGACACGGTGACGATAACTTCTCTCTTCTGGGCTGACCAGCCCAATCCTGCGTTCCCCAAAGAGGACATCTTCGCGGGCAACCTCCCGCTTGTCGACGAACCGGCCAGTTCTGGTGATGACGACGACGCGGGCCTTCTCGGGGTCTCAGAGGACGAGGAGGCCATCCCGCCCTCTGGCGTTTCCCAGGCCAACGCCCCTGCGGCCTTGCCTCAGTCCTTCCTCTTGGAAGTGTGTGAGCGAGTGGCCGCTCGCCTCAACATTGAGTGGCCAGCTTACCAGGCGGAGAATTTGGACGACTTAGGCCAACAGCTGGACAAGAGATCCCCCTCACCCGTGCTGTAGAAGGAGATCATTACTGTTAATGACCTCGTCCTCCGTAACCCTTGTCAGGCCATCCAAACCTGCGGGCACTCCATGGCGCTTTCTGTGGTGGTAGAGCGCACGCTCTGGCTGAACCTGTCGGGCCTTCCTGAGAGTGAGAAAAGGCGCATCGCGGGCGCCCTGGTAGAGCCCGGCCGGGCTCTCTTTGGCCCCGCCGTCGCATTAATGCAGCGACGATGTGACGACAAGAAGGAAGATGAGGCCTTCAAGGTATGCCTTCCCAGGGAGGCGGCCCCACGCCATGCGGCCCCACGCCAGGCGCCCCCCTGCGCGTTTGCCTAACCCCCCTGTCTCAGGACGTAATTTCCATCAGGGTAAGGAAAGGCCCCCTAACAAACCCCAGCCACGACAGAGCAACCCATCCTCTGCTAAGCTCTGGGGGAAACCGACTCCTGCCGCGGCGGGAAAACCCTCGAACACTATCCACACCGACTCGAAACAGACTGCAGTTTGCTATGAAACCCCCGCATTTCAACGGCGTTCTCTCTTCACACACAGAGGAGAGTGCCGCACAAATTCTGAAAGAGGAAATATCTTCACTTCTAAACAAGGGAGCGATTCAGGTAGTGCCCCCCAATCTGATAAACCAGGGATTTTATTCCCGTTATTTCCTGGTCCCAAAGAAGGACGGCTCTCTCCGCCCTATCTTGGACCTCCGTGTGTTGAACAAACATTTGAGGAAATACAATTTCAGGATGTTAACTCATGGCTCGCTCACCCGCGCCATAAAACGGAACGACTGGTTCACATCGGTTGATCTGAAAGTTGCTTTCTTCCTCATAAGCATTTATCCACCACACAGGAAGTTTCTTCATTTTGCCTACCAAGGCACATGTTACGAATTCACAGTTCTCCCGTTTGGGCTCTCGTTATGCCAAAGGAGTTTCTCTCTGTGTGCGGAGGTGGGCTTAGCCATACATACATAGACGATTGGCTCATAATAGCTGAATCGAAGGAGAAAGTGTGTGCTCACACAAATCACATCTCTTGGGTTCAGGGTGAATGTGAACGAGCAATTTTTCACCCAGTCAGACTGTGATTTTCCTGGGCTTGGAGTTGAACTCAGTTTGCATGCTAGGGCGTCTCTCTCAAGAGCGCGTTCTCTTTCTAATGAACTGTCTGCCGCAGTTCAGAGAGGGGGCAAAAGTACAATATCGTACATGCCTCAGGCTGCAGGGTCTGATGGCTTCATCTATCCGGGTTTTGCCGCTGGGACTCATGAGAATGAGAGCGTTCATGAAATGGGTTTTGTCACCACATTTCAGCCCGTTACGCGATCTTTGCCGCTCTGTGACGCGCGCCTGCTCGGCAGCCCTGCGCCACTGGAAGAGCGCAGACTTTAACGCACAGGGAACCCCTCTGGGGACGGTTATGATGCGGAAAGTTGTGACGACAGAATGGGCAGAATGGTGAACGGTTTGTAGCCGAGCAGACTACATTCAGCGCACATAAATTATTTAGAGCTTATGACCATATGGAAAGCTCTGAATCATTTTCTGCCTTGTCTGCAGGGACATCGTGTACTCGTACGCTGCGACAATACCAGAACAGAGGTGCGGACCTGCTATCCAGGGTGAACCCAATTTATGGAGATTGGCGCCTGCACCCTCAGATAGTGGGTATGATATGGATGAGATTCAGACAGGCAACCGTAGATCTATTCGTCTCGCGCGAAAACCACCATTGTCCTATGTTCTTCTCGCTAAAGGACGTGGACGCACTGGCCCACCCATGGCCCAAAGTGCTGCTGTATGCTTTTCTCCCCTGTGCCTGGTAATTCGCACACTGGCCTGGGTGAGAGAGCAGGGCCTGTCTCTCATTCTGATAGCACCCAGGTGGCCCAAAGTACCATGGCTGGCGGAGATAATCCCTCTGTTATACGCACAGCCATGGCGCCTCCCTCTCCGCACAGACCTATTGTCCCAAGCGAACAGGGAGATTTATCACCCACACCCGGACAGGGTGGCTCTCTGGGCCTGGCCCGTGAGAGGATGAACCTAAACGCACTAGGGCATCCCCCATGTGTGGTTGCTACTATAAAGAACGCCAGGGCCGTTTCTACACGGTCCTTATACGGCTGTAAGTGGCAAGTGTTCGAAGGGTGGTGTGATGGCCATGGTCTCACATCTTAACAGTGTGCAGTTCCTGATATTTTGTGTTTTTGTAAAGCCTGATATTTTGTAAAGCCTGGCCTGATTTAGTCAACTCAAGTCAAGTCACCCGGGTTGCTTATTCATATAGTGCTTTTTTAGCCTAGAAATCTAGACGCACCCTAGCGGCAGCGAAAATTATTTCGCAGCCAGTGTGGTCTAGCAGCTCTCCATAGGCTTTTGAGCTGTAAAAAACAAAAACTGGTCAGGCCAATCACATCGTGTATAGAGTCGGCGGGCGGGCTTAACACAATGACGGCACAGTTCATGACGTTCCGCGTGATTTCCATAGGTGATTTTCCTGCTACTTGAAAACTGCTTGAAAACAATGAAGATGCAGCAGTCTTTCGAATCGGCTTTGGCCGCGACTCTGGAGGACTTGGAGTTAAGAGAACGTCACTTAAGTCATTCTTAAAAAAGGAAGATGTGTTCGGAGTTTTACCGACCTGATACGGCAAAAGTTTAATATATCAATTAGCTCCGCTGGTGGAAAAACGCATGGGACTCACTCATCCACAACCGTTCGTTGCTCTGGTTGGTTGTAGCGCTATCCTATTGCGTGCAGAGGGATTTTGAAAGGTAACCGTTTATCCCGCCCCTCGGATTGAGGCATGTCAATGGAGAGTTCCCAGACCTAACATCTTGATGTAGGTCTGGCATGCCAGGCTAGTGCTTTTTACAATACAGATTGTTTTAAAGCAGCTTAAGTGTCCCCAACTAAGCAATAAAGAGGCAAACCGTTCAGATCGCGTGATCATCAACTTCTGCGTTCGCACGTTGGCTGACGCTAAGCAGAGACAGACGCGCTCACAGCTGTCATATATCACAACTACTCAGTGTTTTCAACCACATTAAGGTTTATTGGTAACGCTTCCTTTTACAGTCCTGTTACCCATGTACTTACTATGTACTTATTATAGTAATTATAATTACTGGGTAATAACTAGGTACTAACCCTGAACCTACCCCTAAACCTACCCCTAACCCATGTACTTACCTTATATTAGCCAGTACTTTCTAGGTAAGTACACTGTAAGTACACGTAAGTACTGTACTGTAAAAGGAAGCGTTACCGGTTTATTTTAGGTTTCAGACATTTAAATACACATAAGTATTAGCAACAATACAATTATAGTTAGTAAAATACACAGTGATGTCTAGGAAGCAGTAATAATAGCCTAATCCATTCGATTATAAATTGATGACGTTTAGATACACATTGTGTAGGTAACTATGAAATTTACTCTATTCTTCTCTCACTTCACTGGCCACTTTCATGTATTTCGGGAGAAGTGGATGAATTGACGTGTTGTAGTCTAACGTTAAATCTGACAGATACAATTCTCTGAACTGCGGTGCGTAGGGCTATATGGTGCCCATTGTGAGTTATAGATCAACTAACATGATTCATGATTATTATAAAGGTTTCTTAAATGACAAAACACATTCACTTACATGTATTTAAAAATAAAAAATATCAGCCAAGGACTTAATGACATGTAACGCAACCAATAACGTTTTGTTCCGCGTCATGTTTAGTGTGAAAATGTAAAGTCGAAGTCACTTCAATAACAGACCGGCGTACATCTAATAAATGAATCATTCAAGAACGTTGTGCAAGTTTACTGCAACAATAGAGCCGCAAACTTCACATACTTTTGAAAATCCTGCATTCAGTTGATCCTGATGAGCGCTCATTGCCACAGTTGTAAACATGACGGTGTTCTTCTTCCACGAGGGGTTTCGTCACAGCATTTACGGTGATGCGCTCTAAAATAACGCTCACCTTGTGCAGGACATGCAATAAGTCAGGAGAGGTGTCGTATTTGGCCAGAGAAGGCGTGGTCACAGAAACATGTGGTTATTTCTGCGAAAGAATTGCTGAAATTTAAAGCTGGTTTGTAGCATATATGAATACAGACTACTTTGCTGTTAATAGGGCTACTGTAGCCTAACTGTTATTTAGTGTTTTTTTTAGTGTTAAATTATTGTAGTTGGGTTAGGTGTCCTAGGTTTTATTGTGAATTTGTGATTTTTATTTAGGCTACTTATATTTATATAATTAAGTATAGGGTACTTTAAAATTGTAATATATTGTAATATATTTGGCACCATTATCGGAAAAACCCCAAACTATACCCAACCTTAAGAATAATGGTACATCCAGTGTAACTGATGTAACTGATAAAGTGCAGTGCATGAGGTGTGTGTATCGTTTGTTGGTTTAACATTTGTTATTAATTCTAAATTTTCAGCATTATTTGTTTATCCCTCTGAACTATCATGATATTAATCTCAGTGCCTCATTGTCATGTCCAGGTCATGCTGAGCATCTGATTGTCTTCACCGACACAAAGATACCAGTGCTGAGCTGTTTCCAGTGGCCGTTTATCTGTTTATCTCTCTCTAAGATGAGTCTCTCAGAGAAACAGAGGTAAGACTGCGACTGTTTCCACAGAATCATTTTAAACACTACTGGAGTTTCAGGTTTGTCCTGTACAGAACAAAGCCTGATCAACAAGGAGTGTTTTCTCTCACCATTGCCATGTCAAATGCTGTGCAAATCAATTGAGAACTTCCAATAAATGGTTTTAGATTGTCGCAGGTTAAAATGACTTGAAACTGGTTTCATATTTAATTTACAGGAACATTTAGCACAGTTAAATATGTTTAATGTACCATACATGTAAAGTCCTCCTGTAACAACCCAGATTATAAAGTGTATTGTGTTTCGATTTAAAGGTGCACATTTAATGGATGTTAAATGTAAATCATGTGGAAACTTTAGTTAGAACTAGTCAAATATAGATGTCAAACAGGGCTTTATAGACAATGTCACAGTTAATAACTAACTTATGTTCAGAACTTCTACCATGACTGTAGATGTTTTGAGACTGTGATACTGTGAAATGTGATACTGTGATACTGGGACTGTGATATGATTCAAATCATACTAAAAATTAACATTGAAAGAAAAATATCTAGAAACAGTGGCGTGCACAGACCTCCGCTGGGGCAAATCTACATCTGGATTTTTTTTTTTTTTGTAATTTAGTGTTTTTATTTATTTTGAAAGAGTTTACAAAACATTTTGCAATATAAGAAAGAAAACTTATACGACTACTAATTCCCCCCTCCCCCCTCCCCCTCCTCCCCCTTCCCACACCCACCCCATTGCACTTCGGGACATTGAGCAGTATCCGAATAACAAGGGATAAAATAAAATACATACAGAGAAAGACTAATAAATTAACATTAATGATAACACCCATAAGTAGCTGCAGATTAAGTAACCAAAAACTTCTTGACTGTAGATATCCAGTTCTTCCACATCGAAATAGTCCTAGGGTTAGCGTGATTGGTCCGTGCCGAAGACAGCTCCATGTATAATATCTCCAATAAAGAGTGAAGCCAATGTTTAATAGAAAGATCATGCGGAGGTTTCCATCGTTGAACAAGTAACTTCTTTGCAGCGGTCATAGCAGCTAACCAGAATTTCCGTACTTTCTCACATAGAGGAAATTGAGAATTGTCATTTAACAATAAAATAACAGGATCTTTGGGGATACAAATCCTCGAAGCCTTGTACAAGACATCAAGCACCGCATCCCAGAATTTTTGCACATCTGGACAGTCCCACAGCATATGTACCAAAGTGTCCACACATCCCGGTCCACAGAAATTACAATACGGGTGGGGTGATAAACCCATTACATGTCGTATACGTGTGGTTAGATATGCCCTGTGAATAACTTTAAAATGAATGAATTGGTGGTTCGGGTTCGTGGATGCATGGAATGTATTGTCCCACACTGTATTCCATTCAATTGTCCTGTTAGAAACGTTCAGATCTAATATCCAAGCTCTAGCTTTAGAAAAATTATCTGCATTAAGATTTTGAAAGCAGAGATAAAAATATGAAACAATTCCTGTGTTTGGTGCGTTTGAGAACCAATTCACCACCGGGTGGGTATGAAGATTAATACCCCAAGGTACCTTATGGGCCTTTAACACGGCACGTAATTTGAAATATAAAAATAAAGTGTTCTGCGAAATATTAAATCTTTCTATTAAGTCACGAAATTCCAGAATTGAATCTTCCCCTTTTATGTCGTTTAACGTTAGAATACCTTTTGTAGACCAGGAAGGCTGTACGAAAGGTTGACCGCCAGAAAGTAAGTTCAGATTGTGCCAAATCGGAGTATGAGTGTGCCATAAAGTTTTAGATGCAAAACAGGCTTCAATCTTCTTGAATATTTGAAGAGTGTAGGAAATTATAGGACCATAATATAATGAGCATTTCCTGTGAGAAAGGCCTGAAAATAACAAATCTTGCAAACGAATTGGTAAAATGCGCTCTTTTTCTAATTGTTTCCATGAAGACTGTGAGCTCGAATCAAACCATTTCAAAACTGAGAGCAGGATAAAAGACCAGTGGTACCATTTAAAATTAGGGCAGCCCATTCCACCTTTTATTTAACACTCGACGAACGTTATCAGAAGCCAAACGACCCGTAATAAATCCTGATTGATCGGAGTCAATTAATTTTTGTATCACTGACTGTAGACGCCTGGCAATAACTTTAGCATACATTTTAACGTCATCGTTAATCAAGGAGATGGGCCTATAATTAGAACAGTCCGTATGATCTTTGCCGGGTTTAGGCATAACCGTGATTAGAGCTGTATTGAGATCTCTGTGAAAACGGCCTTTGAATATGGACTCATTTATAGTACGTAACCAGATATGGCCAAGTAGATCCCACAGCGACAGATATAAATCAACTGGTAAGCCATCGATTCCCGGGGACTTTCCTTTGTTTGAACTTAATAATGCGCAGTGTAATTCTTCTATGGTGATTTCAGATTCGAGGCTGTCAGCTTCCTCCTTTGAAAGTATGTTTAAGTTTAACTGATCAAAAAAATTATTTAACTGATCAGTACTGGGTTGCATTTCTGAAGAATATAATTTTTCGAAAAATGACATGAACGTTTTGTTAATGTCTGCGGGATGTGAGGTGAGACCATTTTTTGAACTCTGGATTGCTTGAATGTTAAAACGTCGCTCATGTTTTTTAAGAGTAAGCGCAAGGAGTCTACTCGGTCTGCTTCCATCTATGTAATATTTATGTTTTGTAATGTGCATTAAATACTCTGCTCTTCTTCGCAACAGATCGTTAAGTGCAACCCTTTCTACATGTAATTTTTGTTGTGTATCATTGGAAAATGTATTGCTTAATTCCCTTTCTAATTCCCCGCATCTTCTCTCTAACTTTGATATTTGTTCAAGATAATTTTTTTTAAGCTTAGCTGAAAAGGAAATAGCATTGTTCCTTAAAAACCCTTTGATGGAGGCCCATAGCATTTCCTGATTAGCAACAGAGTCCTGGTTTATACTGATAAATTCAATCAGTCCTGCTCTCAGTTGAGAAAGAAAGTCTTCATTTTGCAGTAAGAAAGTATTAAATCTCCATCGGGATGGTTTACAAGATGTATTAATCTGAAGATGTGCTAGTACAGCATTATGATCGGAAACACTTTGTGGTAGAAATTCAATATTGATTAGCCCTGAAAGTAACGGTGATGAAAGTAAAATATAATCAATTCTTGAAAATGATTTATGACTTGGGGAGAAATAGGTGTAGTCTTTGGCTGTTGGATTATGTAGTCGCCAAGCATCACATACATCTATATCTTTAATGAGCGATCTCAGCGCTGTAGAAGACTGGGCTTGTGCTACTGAAACTGAAGTATTAGAACGATCCAAAACTGTGTCGAGCACGGCATTCATATCAGATCCAATGATAATTGAATAGCCTTGGAGAGATAATATGGTTTTGGAGACATTTGGAAAGAAGGAGGCATCATAAGAGTTCGGAGCATAAATATTCACAAATGCCAACTTCTTTCCTTCTATTAACGTACAGCAATATGCAATTCTACCATTCTCATCCGAACCTGTGTGTTCAATAGTAAAGTTAGAATTACGTTTAAATAAAATGGTTACTCCCTTCTTCTTAGATTTACAGCTAGATGATACTATGGGGATATAATGCCTATTTTGCAGTCTTTTGGCATCCATGGCGGTCAGGTGGGTTTCCTGAAGAAATGCAACATCAACCTTTTTCCTGTGTAAAAGATCTAACACCCGTGTACGTTTAATAGGAGAGTTTAACCCCCTGACGTTAAAAGACAGCATGTTTATTTTAACCATAGTCTGTAGTAACCGGACACATAGAAATTAGCATGTAATAGTTAGAGCAAATTATTGAGTGTATCATTAAAGTTCCCCCTGTAATATGCCAAAATAAAAACAAAAAAAGTCCTGAGTGCTTTAAGCGCCTAAGCGTCCCCTCCCTCTCCCACCTTCCCCTTTTAGCAAACGTCTGTGGCGGTCGCGAGGCAATGTCTGAACACTATTAACCTTCTTAGCCCCCTATGGAATTAACATTTGAGGAGATTTAAATTAAAGAACAAAAATTTCAAAGTCAGAAGAACTGTCAAACATACACCATTCTCATAACTAGATTTTAAGGCAACCAGATTTAACTGAAGTCTAAGAAATGTAACTTAAGCCCCGTCTTTTCTGAACAGACAACGTCCAATTGTTAAACCAGACCTTCACAATTAGCCTAACTGTCTACCACCTGCACCATTTGAAAATTGAATTTTAAAAACTGAAAATTGTTTAACAAAATCCAATTATATGTAACGTAAATAATTTTTTACCATTTCACTTTGGTGAACTAAAATCCATACGCTGATAAAGAATTGGTCCTTGTATTGTGTAGGTTATTCAGCAAAAAAAGAACTCAAACGATGTCGCCTTAAGCAACCTAACGTTACTCCATTTCCTCCGGTGGCGGAAAGTTTAAGGATCTACGAGCAGATACTGATGCGTTAACATCAAGACCCTCGAGATATTTTTCAGCACTCTCCGGAGATTCAAACGAGTATTTCTGACCCTTGTGGGAGACTCTCAACGATGCTGGGTAGATTAGGAAAGTTTCTGCGCCTTTCTGGTGAAGCTTGAATCTCACGGTCGAAAAAGCCTTCCTCTTTTTTGCCGTCTCGTGACTGTAGTCCGCGTAGAATTCCAGGCGCGCTCCTCCGGGCAAAGTGGGTTTTGCTTTCCGGGCTCCTTGAAGGATGGCTTGCCTGTCAGGATAGCGGAGGAGCCGGAATATCAACGATCGTGGTTTTGGTGAGTTGGAACTCGAATACACTCGGTGAGCTCTATCGATCTCGATCAGACTTGAGCGCGCCGAAAGGTCGGGGATCCATTTAGGTAGCATTTTCTGTAGAAAACCGACCGGATCATCCCCTTCCATTCCAGTTGGTAGATTTACCAGGCGGACATTGTTGCGACGTGACCGGTCTTCGAGGTCATTGCATTTTCGTTGCATCTGTTCAAGCTGAGATAAGCAGAGGTTC